TCTGAAGTGTCTCATCTTTGCCTTGACGCATGATTCGCAGAAGGGATTTCGGTACCTGTGTGTAAGCAAATGAGCTATGGAATTGGCGTCCTTCTTGAGGACTCCCACTTTCCTCTTTATTGATGATCCTTCGTACACGTCTACTTCGATTCCGGCATCTGGATCATCTTCATCAACCTCTTCCTCGTGAGCTTCGGCATCACCATGTCGATGCGGGACTGACCCAACATCTACAGGTATTTCCTCAGCCACGGGAGGCGGACGTACCGGACCGGCTCCTCCGGGTGGCCCGAAGTCGAATGCCCCGTCGTGGTGTTCGCCCTCGGCCTCTGCGGACTCACCGACAGCGGCGGGTGTGACGTCGTTCTCATCGTCACCTCCCTGATCTGCCTCGTCGTTCGTTACCATCGCCAATACTTCCGAAAAGTGCTCCTTGAGGTCGTCAATCGTGGGGCGATGCCTGTTACTCCGAAGTTTACCATCACTCACTAGGTACGGGATGTCGTCCTTGACCTGCAAGTGCACGAATCCCTGCTTTGGCGTAACCATGAAAGGTAGTTTACCAGGCATCCAGTGAAATGCATAACCCATCTTCATGCATCTCCTCCCCACTGACAATACCGTGGGTGTCTCATCCAATACATGCGGCTCGACAGTCTCGTCCAACTCGTCCACGACTATCTTGGCCACATCAGATGTGGAAGTGGAACCATTCGCGGTCTGGAACACGATCTCGTCGTCATCTTTCACGATGTCGACACCCAGGCTCTTCGCCTTGGCTCTTCCGATGAGATCATGACCACATCCGGTGTCCATCAACCATTTCACCCGTTTGCTGATGCACGTTGACATGGCGAAAACGTTCTTCGGCATACCATGCTGTTTCTTCCAGTCGACAGCCGATTCCTTGATCTCGTCCTTGTTCCGATCATACTCGAACATTATGCTGCTCTCCTTGGTCACCGGGAAGTAGTGCTTCTTATATATATCATCCACCACTTCTCTCAGTATCTTCGCACGTATCAATGATCGTTGGACTTGATAGGCTGATAATTCACGATGATCACTGCTTTTGAACTTCTTCTCGTCGACGTACACGTACTGATAAGGCTCATTCTCATTGTCCTCATAACCGTACCATTCCCCTTTTCGTTCCCATTGCCTTCTCTCGTCTTCGAGGTAGGTGATCTCCCCATTCTCGTCGACGTCGAGCACTTCCTTGAACCACACCATTTTCTCGGGGATCTCGGACTCGCCAGACCATCTCGATGATTCGCTCATCGCGTCGTCATCGTGCTCGTGGTAGACAGTCTCGGCTTCGTCCGGTTCGACATGATCAACGTCCTTCTTGAAGCTTACCTTCCCTGCAGGAGCCGATTGCTTCAGGACTATCGCGGGCATTGCGATGGCCCTCCTCGCAATGGCAGGCGCTGCGGCTTTGGCGGCAGCCTTCGACTTGGCTTGCGCCTTGTCATTTGACGTTGCTGGAGCTGAATTGTTCTTGATGAGCTCATGCCTGTACTTGCAAGCGCTTCCCCTATCGCACTTCCCCTTCTGAAACGCGAAGCATGCTCCATCATCTCTCTTTGGTGACGATGATCTGGACTTGGATTTGCCCTTTCCTTTCCCCTTGGACATGCTCTCCAACTTATGCTCCGTCTTCTTGCTGTGGGAAAAAGTGCATTCATTCCCTTTCACGCACCCCTTCGCCGATTTGAAGTGGTACCAGCAGGGGTTATCCTTGCTTCCGCCCGGACTCTTGCCTCTGTCGCTGGCACCGTCGGACTTGCCGTTCTTGCCAGCGTGGCCCTTTGCCTTGGCTTTTGGGAGCACAGGAGCGGCATCAGGTCCACCGGGTTTCCCCTTTCTGCCCTTGCCACCCTGGTTCTCCTGTTTGCCAGTTGCTGGAGCCGCATCCTTCCCGCCTGACTTCATCATCGACTTGACCGATTTCTCCTTCATGTCGAGCATCAGGTCTTCCCGATCTGCCTTGATCTGATAGTCGATCAACGCCAATAAGAATTCATACGTCTTCTGAGGATGCTTGTCCGGTAGTCTATGGTAGGCATTGAGGCCGAACTCCATCTTCTTGCTCCCTTTGATCTTCCTGTAAAGGATGTCTCTGAGAGCCAGCTTACTGGGTCTGTCCTCGCTCCTCATCTTCAGCAGCAAATCATACCATTTGTTCCTGAACATGACCAAGTTCTTGTCGCCAGGAAAGTCAAGGTTGAATAAATGCTCGATGTGGTAGACAAGATCCGTTCTATCGGAAGTTCTGAATGATTGCATAACTAATGCCACCAACTCTCGTCCCTTCACGATCACCCCTTGTTGATGTCGTAGTTCAGAGTGTCGTGTAGCATCGAGGTATACGTCCTTGGCTTCGTCAGGTGCTTGTTTCAGCATGTTCTGCATGCCCATGGCCATCTTAATATCTATCGTAGCAAATCTGTCGCCACCTGAATCGCTAAGCAAATCCAGGTCTGGGTTCAACCCAAGAGCCTGCTCCAGCCATTTCGTCCATGCGTCGGTATCTGGATCTGCACATGCGCTCAGAACATTCATCAGCAGTTGCATCTTCCAGGTGTCAAGTTGATGGATCTTTGGCCAGGCCGGAATAGATACTCTCTCGGCCTCTTTCCTCGAGATTCTCGGTCGATCATTCTTGATCTCTCGGTTATCTCTCGATCTCCTTCGTCTCCTCCGTGTCCGATCGTCTTCTTCCTCTTCTTCTTCCTCGTCTTCCTCATCTCCTTCGTCGTCGTCATCCTCATCCTCATCATCGGGTGGATCATCCGGAGGTCCTCCTCCGCCACCAGCGAGGCTCAACTGACGTCGACCCGCTCCCTGCCCATTCCCATTGGGCGGGAATCCACCGTAATCCAATGGGGGCGTAGTACCGTTGTTTCCCCCTCCATCACCACCACCAGTCGTAGTAGTGGATTGTGGGACATGCCCAACAACCCCTTGCATCTGGGATAGGTGTACATCGATCATTGGATCACCGAAAGACGGAAAGAGGATCGAACCTGGCATCAGCGACGAATTAGGGATTTGATTCGAAGACGATGACGGGACTGACCCAGCCACCTTCTTGTCTATCCTATTTGAATTAGCCTGGGTTCCTCCCTCAGCGCGTTTCACTACTGCTCGTTCACGATGTCCATCTTTGCTGCTGGAGGCTTCCTGTGTCTCCAGCTTCTTGTGTGCACGTAGTTCCTCGTTGTCAGCATCGAGTTGGCGTACAAAACTCTCTTCTTGCTTGAGCGTCGCCTCTCTTTCCTTCAGTTGTCCCTGAAGCTCATGCATCTCCTCGAGGTACTCATCGTACATTCCCTTAGCTGTCAATCTCCAGTACTCAGCCTCCTTCGACTTCTCGTCCATCGTGCACCGTTCCTCTTGTTTCTCTTCTTTGACCTGGGCTAACTCCAAGATCGCATCCTGACGATGACCACCTTCGACAGCAATCATCTGGTCCTTCATCGACACGTCGGACTCATACTGTTTGACGATCTCTTCTTTTTCGCGAAGCAAGCAATCTGCTCTCTTCGATTCCTGTTCCGCAAATACTGTAACGTCATTCAGCCTCGCCATCAGCTGTTCCCTGGAGTCCTCCAAAGAGTACGTCTCGGGGCGCTTGACGAGTGCATGCTCCAACTGTGATTTCAGACTTTGGACCATCTCCTCCTCGTTGAACTTCTCGATAGATGTAGAAGATTCTATGCCTCTGATCTGTTGCTGATAAGCTGATATCTGTTGTGAAGCCTCACGGTGTATCTGATTTGCACGTATAGCTGATTCCTGCGCGGCCGACTTCTCGCTTGCCATGTAGGATTCATCAATGCAATCTCCCGCTTCTGCTCCATGATAGTTCCTTCAGCTTGCCTCATCTGTTGCATTATAATATTCGACTCCATGTCTTTCTTCTCCCCGTACTGAAATGCGTTCATTTCCACCTTGCGCATCTGTTGGGCTTCTTCCTCAAACTTGCGCCATGCCTCAGCCATGTGGTGTTGGTGGTGACTCACTAGATGTCCCGACTGCTTGCTGGCAATCTCGCATCGTCTTTCCAGCTCCTGGATCCGGATGGTGCTTCCATAGTCTTCTTGGTTAAGATTCGCCATTGCTGCCGACATTTCATCAAGTGTCTTCTGATATTCCCCGATCTCCACCTCCATCTTATTCTTCTCTTTGATCACGGCGCGAAAATCTGCACTGGTGGGTGATTTTGACCTCCCACCCTTCGATGTCGATCTCACGCCCTTCTGCGACGTCCGTGGTGTCGCAGGCGAAGATGATGATCTTCTCGGTGGGGATTCTCTTTTCTTCGACTCCTGATGAACATCGATCTGCTTCCATGATCTTGTGGGAGTAGATATGTCGCTGAATAGCGCGGAACCTCCGCTCCCAGGTTCATCCTGTGAATCTGCAATCATATCCATCACCGCAGGAAGAGCCATCAATCCATTGGATCCCTCTGAGCTGCTGTTCCCAAAAGTTGCAGTACTTGGGCTCGCCGAAGACGCCATTGTACTGTGTATGTTATCGTTCCTTTATTGTCCCTGTACCCGCAATAAACCAGCTGTCTCCCAGTCCAGTGTAGAGCTTGTAGTTACGGCTGATAACCTGTCAAGAGACGGCAAGGTGACGTCCCGTGGGACGCTGTGCACCGAACCCTCAAGCTTCAATACCAACCACGTAGAAAGGTGTATACGGACGATGCCGTTATAGCCGAACCCGTGTAAACGTTGTAAGGAAGAAGGAATGATAGTTACACCAGTAGTCCTGACAATGCAGCGCAAGCAGTTGTTTTGCTCTTATCGCCCGTCACGAATGTTCGCAGTCACACATCAGATCTTGAACCTCAATTGTGTCTTGAGCCAAATGGCGATCAATGGAACTTGGGAAGCAACACCAACAAGGACCTCAGAACAGCTACCCAATTTCGGCACGGGGCCTAGAGGGTTTTAACAACATCCTTGACAATGCTGCCAAAGTGCCAGGTCCAAAGCTGACAACGCCGCCTTCACATCCTCGTTCTGCATCATCAGCTCAAGCTCCATGAGGGTGAGGGAGCCTCTCTAGCGAGTGCTCCGTGTTGCAAGCAGCTCCCCGGAAATCGACCCTTGAAGCTGATCAACCTGGATAAGTTTGTGCTGCCTCCTGAATCGCGCCAAGAGGTCATCTTTGAGACCACCAAAGGGACAACTAAGAGAACCCAGCCAGCAAAGCGTGTCGCTCGGCCCAGCCAGTTGGCGCCAAACCATCAGCCGAGTTGGCCCCCTCTGAGTCCAGCCCTTGGTGTCTAAACTGAAACCAATGTTTGGTCAAACAGGGCACCCACAAAAAGGGACCCTTAGCCCCTCTGGCCCGAGCCATTGGGACTCTGGGAGTAGGGGCCCCTGGGCTGCGCTAGCTTCCTCCCCGGGGCGGTGCAGCGTCCATCAAGCACATCAAGTGCACCCCAGCCATGTGGCGGTCTGGCTTCATTGCCGGCGGTGGAGTGGTTCTTCGGCTTCGTGCAGTTGGTTGGTGTTTGTTGTGGACCTTCATGGGCTACGCCCCCTCTTCGGATCCTGGTCTTCTTTCCAGAATTTTTGCACCGCCCGACTGCATCCTCGACCAGCTGGCTACGCACTTTCGGACCTTTGCTACTTTACCTGCTGTGGTTTGCCGCGCGATGGCCGCTGGCCAGCTCAAGGGGTGCTGGAGGTCGGGGAGTTCACTTTCTCCCTGGTCACGTGTGATACTCAACGGCAAGAAAGGTGGCTTGGAACTTAGGTGCGGTGACTTTCTTCTGACTGGCAGTGGCGAGAGACCACCTCAGGAAGCAGTGTTGAACTACAAAGTAGTTGGGGCTTGAGTCGGCAGTTTGCTTTCTCTGTCGGGTGTGATTTTTTCCCCTTGGGCGATCACGTTGTACAGTTGCAGGGTTAGCTTCGTGCAAGTGCGACCACGGCTGCCCAGAGGCTGTGGTTGCCATTTGTTCGCCTAAGAGGGTTGCTTTTGCGCGATGTGGAAGACTTTGTGTGAGACCCAGATGCGGTCTGATTTTTGGGGCCCAGGTTGACTGTTTTGCTGCCGGCCCGGGTGCCCGTGCGACTGGCAGCTTCTGCTTCTGGCGTTGCTGCCTGTAGTTCAGGTCAGTGTGGCCCGGGGCCTAGAAGACCCCGTGGCCGCGGTGATGCGTCATGGCCCGCTGCGAGAGTCCGATAAAAGAAGGGGCCCTTATTGAGGAACTGAGGAACCCACCAAAGCAAAAAGGCAAAAGGTGGCTGAACAAACGTAACCCATCTGGACGAACCACTGCGCTGAGCTGGTTTTGTCCCCCTCGGTGAGCTGCTTAGGTTGGGTCCATTTGTGGTTTATCTCAGTGGGGGTTGATCCATCTGGCACAGGATCTCACAAGCCCAGTGGCTGTTTGGTTGATCTTGGGGCAACCCTTCCCAAGAGCAGGAACCAAGGATGGCGCCTGGGCAAGCGGGGGATTTTGTCCAAACACCAGTCCGCGACTTTTTGCTTGGCCTTGACGCACGCCGTCGTTCGCGTTGCCTTGGCTCACCAGGTCGAAGCTGCGGAAGAGATTGCGAGCCCTTGGCCGTGCGGTGGCGGGGGGGGGGACCGGTCCCCAGAGGCCCCAGAGGTGCCCGTTAATCATCTCGCAGGGCAGCTCTACCGGGTCTGGAGGGGAAGCAGGATTCACCAACCCAAGTCCAAGTTATCATCTGGGCCGTGCAACCTTGCACACGTGATCCGCTCAATCCAGATCCGCCCAAAAATGTCATATTTCAACCACTCAAAGGAAAAGCAACAACTCCTGTGTACCCTTGGCAGTTCCGCGCCCTACTGTCAACGCCTCCCCCCCAAAGAGCCAATCCCACAAACATGTCCAAGTAAAACGTGCCAATATGTGCACCCGGTACAACCAACTGACGTGCGATGGTGATGCAGACGACCGAACGCAACCTCATGTCTCCACAACTTTCAGTCACCCCAACAACCTCTGTGGCACGGTCGTTGCTTCAAGATGTAACCCACGGAAACCAGGCACCAATGTCCACAAGGCCCAAACATGTTACCGCAAAGCACCGGACGGACTTGTGCCTCGAGCGATTCACATCTGCAGAACTGATAGCGCCTTTCTTCCAAACCCGGCCCATTGTCTGTTGCCTACACGTCAGGGGGCTCCTCGCAGATTCGCTCGGTCTCAATCTGCATTGCCTGAGCCACCCAACATGCCGAGGACCGAGTGCCAACTTGTACGCTGCAAGACCCAAGTGCAACCTCAAACCCATGTGGTAAAACTTTAGGAAAGCTTCGGCTCAGCCGCTGCCCGGCCAGTAGAAATCAATTCAAACAAGGCAGGCCAGTGGTCAGGGGAGCAAGCCAAGATTTCCGGGCAAAAAAGTACAGCTGCTGATCCAAGTCGCCATCAGCTGCGCCTCCTGATCTCTCTCAGCGAGCTCCGTTGCACGTTGACAGAACACAC